AGTCAGCTGCATCCATTGACTTCCTGCATGTCTTACCAGATCGTCACTCTATCTAGTGGGGGGATGCCCTACACTTCGTCCGCCGGTACGAGCCCGCCACTCGAGAAACTTTTTTCCCATCGGTTGTTGGTTCTTAACTAATGGCCGGCCCATCGCCACTTCATCTTACTAATCCGTTGGGCTATGTCGGTCACTCTGCTTCTACTGCGGATAACCTCATTTCTAAGTTTATACTGAACGAGTCGTCTTAGGTGGCAACCGAACCTCTTAGCACCCCCTGCCCCGCCGTTACTATGGTCGCCACCGAAGTCAGGCATAGCGGAGCCGCCGGGGACTGGGGGCCGTCTCTTCGTAACTTTAATCATGGAGGGTATATTGCCATAGTTGCTACGCTTGGCGAGCGGGTTGGCAACCGCAGTTTTTTTATTGTTGTTTTGCTGTTATCAGACAGATGGTGCTGGCCGTCTGCTGCCTCAGTTTCCCTTTGTCGCCTCTTACGACACCAACGGGAAGATATGGGGTAGTGGGTATTCTTAACCGCCACTACACGGGGCGAGTGATAAGATGGAATGCCTCACAGCTAATAGAGAACCATAAATATTGTGGTTCTCTATTAGCTTCAGATCGGAACACACCAGTGCAAAGAAACAGGAATAGGAAACAGGAATAGGAAACAGGAAACAGGAAATAGGTAAGAGTGTAGTACCTACCCGGACGGACTTCTGGGCGAAAATAAAATCCTACAATCTAGTAAACAACTTAGTAAGACTTCATCAAACTCAAGACTGTGAACGAATATGTTATATGCCTGGCACTAAGAACCATCCAGGCTCGCGAATATAGCGTGAGTACACGGTGTGGCTTCTGAAACTGCCGATTAAAACTTTTCACATGTCAGACAACATATAAAGTTTAAAAGAGTAAAGTTACAGCATATGCACGTTCATTGCTGGACTCAGGCCTCCTCTCAATTCTGAGAGGGTTTTAGTTTTTTTTTTTTATAGGAGAGGGGGCAAACGAGCATGCGGCTCACCTGATGGTAAGTGACTACCGCCGCCCATGAACAACTGCAACACCAGGGGAATCGCAGATGCGTTCCCGGCCTTTTAAAAAGGAGTACGCTCTTTTCTTGAAGGTCCCTAAGTCGTATCGGTCCGGAAAAATCGCTGATGGTAATGGATTCCACAAGGAGGTCTTGCGAGGAAGAAAACATCTTCTAAATCGCACAGTGGTGGACCGCCAATCATCCAGATGGTGTGGATGGTATCGGGAGTTCTGCCGCGATGTGCGTTCGTGAAATTTGGCGGCTGGGATTAATCCGAACAATTCCTCAGAGCACTCCCCATGGTAGATGCGAAAGAAAATGCAAAGGGATGCAACATCTCTTCGCAGTGCCAATGAATCGAGCCGATCGGAAAGGGCTCGGTCGTCGACAATTCGAGCCGCTCTGCGTTGGATGCGGTCAAGTGGAAGGAGCTGGCACTGGGGAGCCCCTGCCCAGAGATGGGAACAGTATTCCATGTGAGGCCGAACTTGCGCCTTGTAAAGTAGCAGGCGGTGTGCCGGCATGAAATACTGTCCCGCTCTGCTGAGCACGCCAAGCTTTTTAGAGGCCAATTTGGCCTTCTCTTCCAAGTGACCACGAAACTGCACGCTACTCGATATGTCGACGCCGAGGATTCCGATACTGGCTGAGGCAACAAGGGGAGTACCTTGAAACTGAGGAGATACGACAAAGGGGTTCTTTTTAGCGGTAAACGCGCAAACTTGTGTCTTCTGAGGATTAAACTGGACTAGATTTAGTCGCCCCCAATCCGAGACTTTGCTCAGCAAAGACTCGACTTCAGACACAAGATTGGCCAAGGAAGTGGCCACCGCGCAACCAATGTGCGTGTTGGCGAACTTCACATGTCTTTGAAATATTTCTTTATTTATTTAGAAAAAACATAATTAGAACAATTTACGAAATCTAACAAAGACGCTTTATCACAATTGGCTGAATGAAATAAAGATAAAATTAGTAATGCCCAACTTTAAAGACGTCTTTGTAAGTTTTGTCTCGCCCAGCGATCTCGTAATCGCCGCCGGCAGTTGAGAGCTCTCTGCTCCGATCAATAAACAATAAAACAAAGGCACAAAGAGACGTCCGGCTCTAACAGACATGTCAAAGAGTATCCTGTTAAGATTTAGGGGCAAGAAGTCTATTTGTTTTATACATAATGAATTATAGACGACTTAGGAAGATGCAAACATCGTTTTAATAACTCGCTTCGAATTTAATTTCATAAAACTGTTTAGTTTTTGCAAGCAGTTACGCAGTGCACGTTCTAATGTGGGATTGGCACACTTGAAAATAGAGTATAGCCCCTCTATTTCCAATGTTTCATTATTATAATCTTTATAAGGTGTCGGAATAGGTAAATATTATTCCACTTATATTTGATAAAAAATAAAGCAATAATTTTTGCATACTTAGATAGTTGTATAAATACTAAAAAATGAGATAAAACATATGAAATGATACCAATATATGACAATATGTACTGATGTAGTGGTGTTGGTGATGTTGAGATTAGTGGTGACGGGGTAGTAGTGCTGGAAATTGAGGGCGGGATACATAGTTACGTAATCAATAACAACGATACAAGGCCTTGCATGTAAGCGTTTTACGTGGCAGATCCACGTCGCAGCAGCGCTGCAGAATACCAGCGTAAAATAGCAGCGTAATTTAAAAAAACAACTAGTTTTTATGGATTTTCGCGTATATTAACTTATTTTATATTCCCGACGTTTCAAGCATTTTACAGCACCCATAGTTAATCACGACTACCTCCAGATTAAAATTATTAATTTTTGTTCCGATCTACGCAGTAACATGGGGACGTCAAACACCTCATTCCCCCTCCCCCCCCCCCGTAACAATGGGTGCTGTAAAGTGCTTGAAACATTGGGAATATAAAATAAGTTAATATACGCGAAAATCCGTAAAAACTAGTTTTATTAAATGTCTAGTGTTCGCGTTAATATAAGAAATCATTAGCAGCATAATGTTGCTGTTTCGTATGGTGAGTGACAACAAGGCATTTCATCTTAGTCCACAGAAGTAAAACGCATCTGCGTTTTGATTATAACACGAGCATTAGGCGGACTGTGTCCATTTTGCCTTTACTTTAAAAAAAAGTTAAACCAATTGTAAATCACTTCGAGATAGCATCGACTAATGATAGAGGTAGCTAAAAGCTTTCTTCTCATCTTAAGCCCGCCCATTAAAGACAGTTGAAATCAAAATAAAAAGACATCGTCAGAGAGAGCCGTCGTGGGTGGTCGTTGTAATGCTACTTATGAATGGAGTCTGCGTAACTGCGCTGAGTGAAAAGTTAATTACGCAAAAATTAACTACATATTAATTAAAAGTAAAAGCCGACTTCAAACAACCGAACAGAATAAGATAATTTCACATTGAAGTCGGTGCTAAGAGATTGTTTAGAAGAATAAGTCACGAATTCAGAGTTGTGAGTGTAGAATGTAACAATGTGATGATGGATGATGGATTTTTTTCTCCAAATTTCTTTGAAGCATAAAATATTACTACTTTATAAAAAATAGAATGAACCTAGTCGATTCACAATTGATCGCATAATAAATACTAAAAAAAAACACATACTCAAATTGTTAACCTCCTCTTTTTTTGAAGTCGCCTTAAAATTATATACTGTGATTGTTTAATGTGTTTATACGTCAGTTGAATGATATTTTTTTTTTGCTATAAACTGATGCAATTAACAACACAAGTACGAAAACACGTAAGCTAAATACGAGAGCGTAATATGCTCCTAAATACAGAAAAAGAGGTGATCTAAAAACATATTTCATATTATATTTGTATGGATAGGAATAAAAGATTTGGAAAATAAAATTATTGTCTAAAGCAATTTTAAGCGCTGATTTACCAAGAGTTCGGCGGTGAAGAAAAACACCATGAGGAAACCTGAATGTTTGAGAAATAAAATATTTTGAGGATATTTCAAATCCGCCATGAAAGCACCGCGGGGGACTGATCGCTCCATAACCTCAAACGTGGGAGGCCTGTGCCCGGCAGTGGGACGTATACTGTAGTCTCCTGCTTATGAGGGCATCCACGAATTTTTCTGCCACCAGGCCGGCGCCACTTTGGAATAAGGTTTAATGTTTCTTTCTAAAATATTATTTATATTTTATATGAATTAGATTAGAAATCGATTAACCAAACTACGGATATTCCTCAAGGTATTTTAAAAAAAATGTTTAAGTGTGTAAAACACTAAAGAACACAGCGTGTTTATGTATGTTTTATCTATACGTGGTAGAGCCATGCTGCAGCTATATTAGTAGTATAGTTGTAGCACGAATGGCTCGGCTCGTCCGGCGAACGACCACGCACTCACAGAATACCAGCGTAAAATGGCAGCTTGACACTGCTGTGTTTCGTATGGTGAGTGTAGAGAACCGGAGACCCATTTTACTAGAAAAGAGGCATTCCATCTTAGCCCTCACGTTATTGAGGATAAATGTAGATGTCTATGGGTCACAGCAAGCGCTTACCATCAGGTGAACTGTGTGTTCGTTTGTCACCCTATGCCATAAAAAAATGCATTAATTAGAAACCGAAAAACTTTTATTTAAAACGCAAATTTTCAATGATGATGACAATATGCGACCATCTGCGTAACAAATAAGTTCACCTCAGTCCCACCCAGCGACAGATGAATGTAAGATTATAAGCCCTAATTGTAAATGACTGCTGTGTCTTTTATCAACACCGAGCGCACCAGTGGCGAATGAAGGAACGGAAACCAACAATCATCGATCCTTAATTTTTTCTCTTAAAAGTCATATTGCACCTCCAAAGCAGTGTTCTCTGCTAATACGAGTAGGTGGACTGGTATAGAACGCCTTAAGGCTTTTTACACTTACCGCCCTTATACACTTTTGTGCAACCAAATAAATCACCGAGAGCTCACCTTTCTCGATGAGGTCGTTCCACTTCTTGCCCCAGCCTCGCAGGCTCTTCGCGTACGTCTTCTCGATGTCGGCGCGCTCCTGCACGAGCGCCTGCAGCTCGCTGCAGAGCCGGTGTCCGTCGTCGATGCGCCGTGTGGTGCGCTTGTAGTTGCCCGGCTCCCAGAACGAGTCGGACGCGCCCGTGAGCAGCGCTTGCTCGTCGCTGTGATGCGACATGGCGGTGCGGCACTCACACACCGCCCCTCTGCAACAACCATAACAATATATTTATTCACTAGGAACAATATGCTACAATTTTTTTCAATAAATTGAAATGACAAACAATCTCACAGTCCACATGATGGTAAGTGGCTACTACAGTCCGTGCGTTATCACCCCTGAGGACTAAGATAGAACTCACAGCCTGTAATTATAGTGGCTTTCTTTATCCTTCAGACCGGGACCTAGCAGTGCACCCAAGCCTTAATTGAGAATAAATGTTTAATATGTCTATGGGCTACAGCATTCACTTACCATCAGGTGGACTGTGTACTCGTATATAATACGTCCTACCAACTAGTGGTAATAACTGTTCGTACAATACAAAAAAAGTATCACATTTTCACTAATAACGGTAAATAAAATTTTAAGTAAAATTAAATGCACATCAATTTACATTTTTTTTTATTTTAACCCTTAAAAATATGATCAAGTAAAGCTCATTTAACAGTCATTAAAATTTAATTTCTTTCTCAGCAGTTCATTTACCGTATAAAATTATTTTCCCAAAAGTCAGCTTAATAAATAACGTCTAAAGAATTTTCAGTATTTTGATGTAATATAGACTGTAAATCATATATTATTTTTTGGAATATTTTTAATGAAGGCAAAATAATTCCTTTCTGGGTAATTGATCATACTAACAAGTTATTCATCAGCGTAAATAAGACAATCTTAAACTTTAACGTAAAATGATACCATTTTGAAGGCATGTTATTGAAAGAAGCCTGAAAAATGTGATATTGCAATAAGTACAAACTTCATTATATATATATAACATATACAAATAAATAAAAAAGGGTAACTTATGAGTCAACCATGAATATTTTATTTTATGTAACACATATAATCTTTAATATAAAAATGAATCGCCGAATGTGTTGCTAAGCTCAAATCTCGAGAGCAGCTGAATCGATTTCGCTAATTCTTTTTTTATAATATTCCTTGAAGTACGAAGATGGTTCTTACGGAGAGAAAAATTTAAAAAATTGCCTAAAAAAGTCTAAAAACAACACTTTTCTATATTCCCATACTAAAGATTCGTAATAATACTTTAAAGTCAATTTGAACTTTAATACCATACAAACATAATATAAGTTTAAGTGTTAGTGGAGGGGTTCCGGGAAGGCAAAACAATTGAGTAACCTGGTGTCCCAAATAGCAGAATAAGTATTAAAAAAATAATTAAAGAATCGACTGTTAGGCGGTACGAAGTTCGCCGGGTCAGCTAGTATAATATAAAAATTAATGTCTCTTTGTTTGTATTTTATGCGTACAAGAGATTGCGGTAAAATTTTGTCAACTTATTGCTTGCACTTGCGCAAAGGTTATAGGCATAGTACAATTAAATTACAGCAGGTGGTGTGCTTATCTTACCGACAAATTTATTTGATTGTTGTATAGCATTCAACTTCAATGAAATGATAATCATTCTTATCTAAACAATTTAAGTCTTTAAATTTTAAAACATTTCAACAAAGGTACCAGGTCTGGTACCTGTGTACCTTAGTTTTAAATAAATTATAGCTATCTGCACTTCTTCTGCATATAAACTTTAACTATGTCAAATCTCACACTACTACTACGTGCGCACAATATGCTTAAAATGGAGTACAAAGTTTTCCCTCCACGTTAATAATAGATTATAAAAACAAAGCCCACAAACATTTTATTGTTTGCTTTCAACCTCATATTGCAAAATATAATACAGCTGTGCTATTTTCTACGCGAGAGTGTACCTAAATCATAAATACTCTGAGTGGACTCTAATAAAACCTACGGTACATAATTCCGCCAGTGTTGGGATACGTCCCAATTCAGCCCGAGAGAGCATCCCTTTGTGCCGTTACAGAGTTGAAAACAAATTAAAAAGCGAGCCGCGTGTGCTATTCATTGCTTCTTTGTCCCAGATAGAGCATTTGTGTTGGCCTTGTTTCTTCTTTTATAAACCGATTAAATTAATATCGTCGAGTTAAGGCGCATTGTACGGTTTCCGGCTATTTACGATATTATCCGATCCATCTGGTTAACATATACCCGGATTAAAAATTCACTCTTGTCATTAAATCTTTTTATCTGGCAGATCGGAACAGGCTTTACCTGATCGATACAGTGAAATGGACACAGTCTTCATGCTTGATTAATAATAAACAAAATACAAATGCAAGATTATACAAAATATTACAAGAACTCGGGGTAAGACAGAATGCCTCGTCATTAGTAAAAATAGTCTTCGTTTCTCTACACTCACCGTATTCCAAGCTTACCAAATTAAATATGCAGCTGTACAGCTGTACTGTACCTGTAATAAAATCTTTGATAGTGTGATCCTGCAGCATACAGCCAGGTTATCTCTTTACTCTACTCTACTATAACGGTATACAGCTACTAGATCTTACCTCCTAATTGAACCTAACATCCTCCTCAGGACCTTCCTCTTGGCTATAACAATTCACAAAACATACGATCTCGAAAACTTAACTTGTCACAAAAATATGTATTGGGTCCACCTAGGATTTAAGGGAGGAGCGCAATAAATGCATTCGCTTACTGTGTTTAGCACATGTCGCAGGGTTGGTGTGATATCTTCCATATTATACTCGTATTACTAACGTCACGTGTACGCACTTGGAGTACTCCGGGTCTTTAAGTCCAAACCCGTATTTTATTAGATGGCTACTTTAACCATTAAAGTGATGCGGTTGTAAATTTTACGATATAGCTATATATAAGAACTTTAACACAGCTTTATTATAAGTTTCGAAAATTTAAGTGAGAATGGTTGCTAACCAACTTTAAATCGTTATAGATTTTTAGTCATTCAAAATGAAAAATGGTTCAAGAAACCTGAGGATGATTTTCAAAGACTTATTCAATACCCCACTTGACATAGTTCGTAGACTTTCCTTTTTTTTTTCTTTTTTCACAATATGTAGTCTGTTTGTTGATATATTTTATTTTGATTACTGTCATTGACACACAAGATTAAGTTAATTCGAATGACGTAAGAATTCTCAAAATATATCCTCGCGTTTGGTTTTTAAAGCGCCACAAAGGAGCAAACATACATAATATATACATACACATATAGACTGCTAAACACATTACCCTAGCGTCGCGCATTCGCGTAAAAATAAACAACATTTTTTCTATATTAGCTATTTTAAAAATTTAACGGGCACACGATACACTTTCGCTTTGCGATATTGCCTGGCATATGTCATCCGATGCTGTTACAGCATGATCAGTGGAAAGTTTAGAATATAATACTATTAAGTCAGTTATTACGTAAGGTGTTTTATGTATCATGTAAACCGATCGATGCATATAATGAGTGTAAGATAACTTGTAAGACGACTTGTTTTTATTACTACACATTACATATTACATTTGTATATGCAAGAAAATACCCGTTACGGAAGAGAAGGTCCTTTTAAATAAAAGTTTGTGAAAGGTTTTTTTTTTCTCCGTTTGAAAGGTTCTGACGAAGGTTATGCAAACTTGGAATTTAAATAAACTCTTATTGGATTATTGAGTACATTTTTTTTTATTTAGCTTTCCGTTTTACTGCAAGTATGGAAAAGTCCTTTTCCCAACGACATTTTCACATAACGAAAAAAACTGTCTCACTGTATTTTATCTAAAACATTTAAATATACGATGCATCAAATTTTCAATCTTGCTGTCCACGCTTACGATACCTTCTGGACAAGATAAGTGATAAATTTCACACCGCCACTGTACGGCAATATATTTTACTAGCTTTGACACGAACGCACACACGCACGCGCGCGCACACACATATACATAATTATGTAAAAATGTCCTGAGGTTCAATTTATGTTTCATTCACATTTTCCAGCCGTTAACTAATTGATGTTAGTTAACAAAAATCACATTCAAAAAGCTATCACGTGGGTATCCGTAAGATTAATTACATTTAATTGCAACCCCTTTATAAAGCGTTCTTACTCCGACGAATTCTCATACAGGAATTTTGCTAATTTAATATAATTAGACACATTTCCGAATGTAACAAGAGAAGGGGAAATGAAGTAATTATCTGTAAATTCGCTAAAATTCGCATGCATAATTAATTGAATTAATACTGCTCTTATCTTACATACACAAAGCGCGACTTACGGGCGAAATAATTTGAAATTATGATAATTTATGTTCTAGTTTGAAGGTTGGTTAATATAATATAATGGATTTCCACAAATTAACTCCTGATTCTAATAATTATCTTGGTCTACAAACTATATACTATTTTATGTTAGTCTACAAACGAATCTAGATATAGTTATACCTGACATTAGATAACGACTTCCTTGGTCTAGTGGTCGTAAACGCGATTACTGATTATGAGATCCCGAGTTTGAATCCCGCGTCGGAACAAAATTAGTTGTTATTGGGATTTTCTATCAAGAAATTCTCATTACCAGGCAAGAGTTAGGAAGTTGGCGGTGTCTCACCCCCGTGCCTCGGAAAGCACGTAAAGCCGTTGGTCCTGCGCCTGATCTCTTTCCTGTCGTGTTGGTTTACCGTCCCATCGGACTATGAGAGTGAGGGAATAGTGTGCACCTGTGCTTGCGCATACACTTGGGCACTATAATCCTGTCTTGCACCGATGGCTAGTCTCCGTTGAGACTGGCAGTCGTAACCGAAATTCTATCTGGAGGACATTATTATACAACTGACAACGCATGTATAGCTTTTCCCGTTATAAAGTTGATTGGAGGGGTCCATGAGCTGCAGTAGACAACTATTCCAATTGGTGCTCATAAATAAAATAATTTCTCTCAAAACTTATTTCAGTTCAGTTAACTCCTTCTTTACTTCTGACAGCTCCGTGGCGCAGTGGCTTAGTAATCAGTTGTTGCGCTGGGGGCCGCGGGTTCGAATCCCGCACGGAACAAGTATTTGTATGGCCTACAAATAATTGTTCCGGGTCTGGAGGTTTGTCCTCGTGCAATTTATGTTTGT